TATTAACCTTCGGCTCCACTCCACCACCACCTTCCGTCAGTATCTCCACGACCCGGATTTACCAAACCTCCCTACCCTCACCCGGTCCGGACAGCACCACCTCTCCATCTCCGGTGGGCTGTCAATCCTCATCTCCATCTGTTTCAGCCGGCGCCATCGCGGAACCTTCGATGGGCCGAGCCACCAGACCTCCACCAGGTCCAGTTGGCATTGCCGGCGTTATCCCTGCACCTCCTAGGAGCCGTGCTCGTCGCAGACGTCACCACCATCACCAGCAGTCTCCTGAGTTGTGCCACCTATCTAAGAGGCCCCTGCTCTGCAGCCCGAGTCTGAGCTAAAGCAGTTGTTCGAGGCCAGAGCTGTGCCGCCTGTCCAAGAGGCCCCTGCAACCTCAGCCCGAGCCCCTTCCATTAACCAGCAGATCATCCACTCGTCGTCGACGTCACCACCAACACCAGCAGTCTCCTGAAGCCAGAGCTGTGCCGCCTGTCCAAGAGGCCCCTGCTCTGCAGTCCAAGTCTGAGCTCCACCTGCCTTCACCGTATCCAGTCCCAGAGGCCGCACCTCAGCCTGTCCAAGAGGCTCCGGTCCTGCCCGTCCACGAGGTTCTGGTGTGTCTAGTGGTATTTGTTAGAACCTCCAGCCCCAAGATCACGTGAACCCTGTGTAACAAACAAACAATGTGAGTGTTTTAATTGAATAAGGAAAACATTTTTATACCCAGGTTTCTTTCTCGTCTGTTCTTATCTTTTTCTCTTAGCTTCTTAAAGGGAGTAGCGAAGCATAGCAAGTTAAAACATAACAGGAAGCAGAGTAAATGTACATATATTCCTATTATGCAATGTGTTTTGAGGTGAAGTCACAGTAGGGTTGTGATTTGGTGGGAACTTTACTGCCAGAATTTCAGTTTGTGTATTTTATTTTGCAATATGCACACTGTTTGTTACATTGGTCTTTTATTGTGAAGGGTTCTCATGTAGGAACACATTTTCAATGTGTTGGTTCCGGTGGTGCAAAAAAGAGATGCACGCTCATGAGAGGTTCAAGCATGGACTGTTAAACAGAAGTTCAGAGATTTTTATTTTAAGATACTTATTTCTGCCTTTAAGCACGGGTCAGCCAACAACGAGGTATGTTTTATGTATCATAAGTGTCATTTTTTGTTGCTTCTTACCGTATTCTGTCTCACTGCATTTATGTGTTGTTTTAGTTCCACGGTGGCACCATACTGAAGAACTTGATGCTGTAACCACAAGATTTACTACCAGTTAGTCGAGTTCATGCCATCAGTGACAGAACTCTTTATTGACGTAAAGAAAAACATTAAAGAAAGGGCAGAAGTAAAACAGCAGGAATGATCCTTGTAGATTGTACATCCTCGATACAAGTGCTGCATCCCACGTTGTTGTCCTTTACCCTAGATCGGGGTCGCTTCCAGCCCATGAGCCAACACTTCCTGTCCTGGAAACCACAAATTGCGGCCATCAAGATGTAAATGTTGCTTAGAAAGAAATGCTGATAATTAGCTTAAACAGCACGCCGGCATCAGGGAGGCTTAGGTTGTTTATAAGGTTAGATCATGGTGGTAATGTGCCACAGTCGTGTCCTTTTTACAAAACATTGTGTGATGGCTGTTTAAAGGGGGTATGGGGGTGGTCCATCTTTAGCATTTGTGTTTCTGTGCTTACGATCCGTGTTCGGTTGTAGTCCAGTACATGGTTTTCCCTTGTGCAGTGGTCTGGTCCAGCTGATTTCTTTTGTGTACTTTCTGCTTCTTGTTTCGCTGCTCTTGTGTTTCTTTGATCTTTATGATCTTTATTTCACTTTACTATGTTCTATTTTCATGTGTTGAGTTTAGGAATGAAACGATTCATTGAACGATTCAAATGGTTTGATTCATTAAGTTCCTCGAGTCATTTCTCACTGATTCAAAGGTTGGTTAATTGTGCGCACCACAGTCTGAACACATTTACTGGTGCACCGTGAGATGGTCTAGGTGCTGTGGAGGAAAAAAGAGAAACCAGCAAAGACAGAAACGACTGGAAATGGAAGAAATGGTTTATTTATAAAGCGCCTTTCACAGATATAAATCACAAAGCGCTGTACAACATGATAAAGATCAGGGCAAATACCTCCAACCAATAAAAACATCAGAAAAACAATAGCAGTGATAAAGTATAAACTAAAATCATGAGTATAAACAAAGTGAAGGTGTGAACCCGAACAAAGCCATCATTCTGAAACATTTAGGGAGGGAACGCCTGGATGAAAAGGTGAGTTTTTAGATGATTTTTAAAGACGTCTACAGTGTTAGAGAGACGGAGATTTGAAGGTAGACTGTTCCAAAGTCTGGGTGCAATAGTCTGAAAGGCCCTGTCCCCTTTGGTTTTCAGTCTGGTTCGAGGAACAGCCAGGAGGTTTTCAGATGTGGATCTGAGGTTCCGAGAGGTGGTGTGTGGGGATAAAAGCTCAGATAGGTAGCTTGGAGCCTGGCTGTTAAGAGCTCTATAGGTCAGGACTAAAACTTTAAACTGTATTCTATATTCTACCGGGAGCCAGTGGAGGGACTGTAAACCTGGAGTGATGTGAGCTCGTCTGCTGGATTTGGTTAGGAGTCTGGCTGCTGCATTTTGGATGGCTTGAAGGTGTGAGAGGGAGGTTTTGCTGAGACCAGTAAAAAGAGCGTTACAGTAGTCTAAGCGTGATGACACAAAGGCATGGATGATTTTTTCCAGATCTGCAGTAGAAACCAGTTTACGGACTTTTGAAATGTTTCTCAGTTGGAAGAACAAGAGCGGGAGATGGTTTTGACGTGTGAGTCTAAACTTAAAGCTGGATCAAAAATAACTCCTAGGTTTCTAATGTTGGCCTTGGCTGATGGGAAAAAAGGAAAAAATGGTCCTAAGTTTGGGATCAAGAGTTGAACTACGGGCAGATTGGCTAATGCTAAGCTAGCGTGTTGCACGCTCACGATTACGTGGAGTTCCAAAAAAAGTGATGGTTGTGAATATCTTTACAAGCGGAAGAAAAATCCCCACCAGCTTGTTTATGTGTGGATGTGTGCAGCTGCTACCTGGAGTCAGGTTGTTGCTGCTGAGAGTCGGCAACTGGAGTCTGCTCCAGACACCGCAGCAGGGCTGTAGCAAGCAGCTGTAGCATGTAATTCACAAATGCTTCCATATTTCTATACAGCTTAGACTGGATTATGTTGCCAACCTGTACATAATACAATAGATAAGCCACCATTACATTGTTACTGGTAGTTATTACATGTTGTTATAATTTCCAGAAGCTTGCTGCTGAACACGTGACTGAAATACATAAATTGTACTGATTATATGTGACTTTAGATATGTTTAGACTAGGATGAGTGATGGTAAACCTTCACTAAACGTCATGAGTGATGAAGGAAGCCATAGAGATAAGGAGACGTGGATGCGGGACCATGAACAGAGACGATGGGGTCTACACATTGGATCGTGCATGGGACTGTGTCATCAGTGAGGGGAGAGCGGGCAGCAGAGGGCGACAACGTCCTCTGCTGCCCGCGGATAAACGGAGTAGGAAGTGACGCCACCATCAGAGTCAGCTCTGAGGAAGTTTACAGCCACGAACAAAACTGTCAGCAAGGTAAGAAAAACTTTTCTGTGTTTTAAAAAGAACCAAAAATGCAACGTCATACTAAAACAAGTCACTTTAGTGTTAACCCTCTCAGGCTCAAAATAAGTCTTGATAAAAGGACGAACAACTAAGTCCTTCAGGGGAACTTCTGAGTTAAAAATGCTCATGAAGTACGTATGTGGAGTAACCAGGTAGGTAGGTTTTTACGTTGCTAATCTGCAACGCCTGCCTCCAGAGGGTTAAACAAACTATTAAATCTGAAATCAGCTTTAGTTTTCAGTTTGTTCTCAATGTGCATGGCATAACGGATGGTGGCCCTCGCTAGTTTAGAAACTCTGGATACGGCCCTGCTACTGTCTCTCATCAGAAGCGCACGCGAAGCACCGCAGCTAGAGAGGAAGAAGCCTGTGGTTTTTCAAAATAAGGTAAAAAAAATTTAACATTTCATGATATTTTAATTATTTCAAACTGTGTGTGTGTGTGTGTGTGTGTGTGTGTGTGTGTGTGTGTGTGTGTGTGTGTGTGTGTGTGTGTGTGTGTGTATTTTCTCACAGAAGAAGAACCCAACACCAGCAGACTCAGTGCTCCACTCCAACAGCCTGAAGAGACACCATCATCAGCTTCAACAGATGTGTGTGAACATGTAGGAGCTGCTGGCCCCATGGATCCTGCTGACTGGCCACAGCAGTTGAACAAAATGGAAAGTAGAACTTTCTTTATGATGACACTTTGATATTTGAGTTTTGCTTTTGATTGCACAGTTTAATGCTGCTTTTGATTTTTCATCCTCACTCCAATGATGTTTGCTCAACATTTTGAGTTGTTGGTTATTGTAATATTCTCAGGTTACTTATCTTTCAAGCTGACATTTATTCTTCAGGCTGTTGACTTTAAAGAGTTGCTGTGTGAATATTTGAAATTAAAAATTCGTAACTAAGGAATCACTGTGGAGTTGCTTTTTCCAATGTGTGGTGGTCGGGTGGACTTGGGTTTGGGTGAGAGGCGTGCAGGCACGTGGGGGGGGGGGGGGGGGCACATGGGCACTCTCGCCTTGGGCGCCAAATTACCTAGAGCCGGCCCTGCGGGTTGCGATTTGTTGTGGTTGGACTTTTATGTTGAAGAGCTGTTCTTGGCCGGCTGTGTGCAGAGTTCCGGTTCGGTTGTTTAGAAGAAAACGAGCTAGTGTGATCGGAGATCGTTAACGGTGTTTCTGCTGGAGTTAAGACGTGGGCTGCGGCCAACAGTAACCCGGAATAAAGATCCGAAACGGAAACAACAAGTTGGAGTCATTAGCATCTCTTAGAAAAGGCAACAAAAGTGTGTTTTATAGGTGTGGTGGCTTTTGTTGAGCCGTGGCGGTGCGACACGAACTAGTTTAGCCCAGCAGAAAGGCCCCGCGGCTGGCTGGACCCAGCTCGACACAGCAGCAGAGCGGTAAGCTTCATATCACTCTAAAATGTCGGCTAACTTTACTGTACACGTTCATTTACGGGCATTAGCAGCGTGCTAGCATTAGCATCCCACCTGCTAACGCTAGCATAACATGCTAGTAAAGTTAGCACCCAGATTAATGTGGATTCGGACGATTTTCGTGGAATAAAACGTGATCTGGGAATTGTGATGAACGCCTTTTTACACCAGATGATAACCTTCCACTGACTGTAGCAGCAGAGCGCCTGTGTGTGTTACTCCGTGAGTGTGATGTGATGTTAGCATCCAGTAAATAAATCTCACATCAGCTAAAGAGCAGCGCGACTAAACGAGGCTGAAGTTAACCTCCGATTCGGGAAACGGCTAAAGGGCCATTACACACAATTTTTCTCTACTCTGACCTTATTTAATCTCCTCTACCTCAAAAACTACAACACCCACACTATTCAGACCTGTTCTAGAATATTCTACTATAAAAGCAGATCAAATTAAACAGTATAGGATTTGTGGTCCTTTCCCTGATTTGTGAAACTTCAACAAAGCCTGATTTATGGGGGTTTTCAGCATCTGGCCAAAGATGGAACAGCTGTAGCTCAAAAACTACAACAGACACGCTGTTAAACCTGTTCTAGATTATTCTACAATAGCAGATTGCATACAACCCTGTTTTGGATTTGTGAAACTAGGGCTGCACGATATTAGGAAAACCTGCGATATTCGATAACAGTGCTTAATATTGCGATATCGATATTACTCACGATAAATGAACAAATACTAAAGTATGCAGTGTTGATGTTGTCTGGCGTGTGACATCTGCTCTGGGTTCAAAGCAAACAAAAACTAATGCATGAATTCCATTACAACATAACATTTTTATTGCAAAAACATGCAGCTGCACCTGCTACTGTATTAGCAGCTGCACCTGCTACTGTATTAGCAGCTGCACCTGCTACTGTATTAGCAGCTGCACCTGCTACTGTATTAGCAGCTGCACCTGCTACTGTATTAGCAGCTGCACCTGCTACCGTATTAGCAGCTGTACCTGCTACTGTATTAGCAGCTGCACCTGCTACTGTATTAGCAGCTGTACCTGCTACTGTATTAGCAGCTGCACCTGCTACTGTATTAGCAGCTGCACCTGCTACCGTATTAGCAGCTGCACCTGCTACCGTATTAGCAGCTGTACCCGCTACTGTATTAGCAGCTGCACCTGCTACTGTATTAGCAGCTGCACCTGCTACCGTATTAGCAGCTGCACCTGCTACCGTATTAGCAGCTGCACCTGCTACTGTATTAGCAGCTGCACCTGCTACTGTATTAGCAGCTGCACCTGCTACTGTATTAGCAGCTGCACCTGCTACCGTATTAGCAGCTGCACCTGCTACCGTATTAGCAGCTGCACCTGCTACTGTATTAGCAGCTGCACCTGCTACTGTATTAGCAGCTGCACCTGCTACTGTATTAGCAGCTGCACCTGCTACCGTATTAGCAGCTGCACCTGCTACCGTATTAGCAGCTGCACCTGCTACCGTATTAGCAGCTGCACCTGCTACTGTATTAGCAGCTGCACCTGCTACCGTATTAGCAGCTGCACCCGCTACCGTGTTAGCAGCTGCACCCGCTACCGTATTAGCAGCTGCGCCTGCTAATGTATTAGCAGCTGCACCTAATACTGTACTAGCAGCTGCACCTGCTACTGTATTAGCAGCTGTACCTGCTACTGTATTTGCAGCTGCACCTGCTACCGTGTTAGCAGCTGCACCTGCTACTGTATTAGCAGCTGCACCCGCTACTGTATTAGCAGCTGCACCTGCTACTGTATTAGCAGCTGCACCTGCTACCGTGTTAGCAGCTGCACCTGCTACTGTATTAGCAGCTGCACCCGCTACTGTATTAGCAGCTGCACCCGCTACTGTATTAGCAGCTGCACCTGCTACTGTATTAGCAGCTGCACCTGCTACCGTGTTAGCAGCTGCACCTGCTACTGTATTAGCAGCTGCACCTGCTACTGTATTAGCAGCTGCACCTGCTACCGTGTTAGCAGCTGCACCTGCTACTGTATTAGCAGCTGCACCTGCTACTGTATTAGCAGCTGCACCCGCTACTGTATTAGCAGCTGCACCTGCTACTGTATTAGCAGCTGCACCTGCTACCGTGTTAGCAGCTGCACCTGCTAATGCATTAGCAGCTGCACCTGCTACCGTGTTAGCAGCTGCACCTGCTACTGTATTAGCAGCTGCACCCGCTACTGTATTAGCAGCTGCACCTGCTACTGTATTAGCAGCTGCACCTGCTACCGTGTTAGCAGCTGCACCTGCTACTGTATTTGCAGCTGCACCTGCTACCGTGTTAGCAGCTGCACCTGCTACTGTATTTGCAGCTGCACCTGCTACCGTGTTAGCAGCTGCACCTGCTACTGTATTAGCAGCTGCACCCGCTACTGTATTAGCAGCTGCACCTGCTACTGTATTAGCAGCTGCACCCGCTACTGTATTAGCAGCTGTACCTGCTACCGTGTTAGCAGCTGTGCCTGCTAATGTATTAGCAGCTGTACCTGCTACTGTATTAGCAGCTGCACCTGCTACCGTGTTAGCAGCTGCGCCTGCTAATGTATTAGCAGCTGTACCTGCTACTGTATTAGCAGCTGTACCTGCTACCGTATTAGCAGCTGTACCTGCTACCGTATTAGCAGCTGTACCTGCTACCGTATTAGCAGCTGCACCCGCTACCGTATTAGCAGCTGCACCCGCTACTGTATTAGCAGCTGCACCCGCTACCGTGTTAGCAGCTGTACCTGCTACCGTATTAGCAGCAAAACAACAAACTGCTAGCATGCAGTTTCTCAGTGACTTTAAAACATCACCTCCACCATAAAACTTTCTCTGATGCTCCAAATACAGAAAAACATCCCTTACCAGGGTTTTTAGAATAAATAAAAACATCATAAAATAAGTTTAAATGTTAAATAATAGTTAACATCACTTAAATGCAACAGCAAATTCTCTCATTGCTACTGAACATTTTCTCCACTTATGTGGTTATGATATGAGGCTGTTGCTGTAACTGGGAAGTGAACTGTGCTGGGCCAAACTAGGAGAATATTAAGATTTTCTGAGGGAAAGAGAAAAACAATTGTCTACCTTTCAGAAGAGGAACTGGCAAAAAAACTACATGGAAAATATGTGAAAACGTTTGTTTTTAACCCCAAATTGAACAAGTTTACCTAGATCTTATTCATCATTATTTATATATTTTTTTCATTTCCATTTAATACTTGTTCAGCTGCTGTTTTGTACAGATATTTTTATTTCTTCATACATTCTTATACATTTACATACTGTGTATTTTGTTGTACAGTTACTTTATTCTCAACTACAACTTATATATATTTTATCTTATTCCTTCCCAGCTAAATTTAGCTTTTATTCTAATTTGTATTGTATTGTGTATTTTGTTGTAAAGCTATTCTATTATTCAACTTTAATTCAGATATAATTTACTTTACTCTTTCCCAGTTAAACTGACCCTTCATTTTAATTTGTGGTGTACAGTTTATTTTTATTTTCAACTCTTAGGCCACGAGCAGTTGTGTAAGGCATTTCACTGCATTTTGTACTGTGTATGAATGTGTATGTGACAAATAAAAATTGAATTTGAATTTAAAAAGCAGCTCCGATGATGAAACTGCAACTATGATTCTGATAACAAGCTAACAAAGTGAACTAGCTCCTCTAAGATAACCGGCTAGCAGAGCTTCTGACTGACAGTTTATGTGCAGCAGCAAATCAACTATCCTGATTAACAAGGTTATAAAAGCTCATAAATGAAAAATCACTTTGATGTGTGGGGGAACTTTTCCAGGCCCTCTTTAGCAGGGTGGGACTGGGAGGAGAGTGCTGTAGCCTTTTAGCTGGAAGCTAACCGGAGCCTGGGGCTAACACTAGCGACACGAAGGTGGGTTGGTTCACCGGCACGTGTCGGAGTCAGCCCGGTAAAAATGATTAACGACACCGAGCGGAGTCACGTTCACGTTTGAAAGCAGCGCTGAATCCAGTAACATCAGCACAAAGTGTGTTTGATAACAGAGCTGTTCTCAGGCTGGGTCTTCCCTAAGGGGAAGGATCCATTTTATGGAGTTGCTTGCAGGTCAGCCAAAAACTGCTGAGTCACTCAGAAACTATGGGTTCCTGTTGCCGGGCAGATTATTCCACCAACCCCCACAGAGACAAATTACATGTCTTATCAGCATACCAGAGCTGGGCTGAAAGGACAACGCCCTGAGACTTACTTTAACACATGATTACTTAAAAAGAACATTTAAGACAGGAAAATACATTAAAGCTTTAACTCTCACCGACACTCGTCTGCATGAGCGTCAGAAATCTGATCAAATCAGCTGTAAAATAATGAAAACAACAGTAAAAATGCTCCTTTGCTTTTTAGAGTCCACATCCAGAAGGCTGGAGCCGTGTTTCACTGACAGGCTGTCAGACTAACGCCCTGATGAGCTCAGCTGGGACAAACTGGTCTGATGTTTAGGTAAGTGAAGATCTGCTTCTCCAAGGCCTTGAGATGCTAGTAAAAATAATGTAGGCAGTGCTAATGTTACTTTTCTTCTCCTCTGAGGAACACAGAACGCTCAGATGTTGGAGCTTCACGTCACCTACTGAGGAGCACCAGTAAAGAGACGGCGTCTGGACCAGACCAAAGTGAGTGATGACACTTTAGCCCTACACCTCAGCCTCTAGGAGCCACCCTCATCATCATTAACTCATTCACTGCCATTGGCGACAAAAGTTGTCATTTTAAAAGGAACCCAGGTTACAAAACTCTGTGCTTCTTAAAAGATAAATGTTAGTATCAGTTATATTAAAATGGTGTAAAAACCTTCTTGATGTCTTAATCTTTATAAAATTAGTAAAAATGGTTTAACTCGTAGGTCGCCATTGTTGTTAGCGTCGCACTGCACTCTGGGTAGTGACGTCATATGGTTGTACCTCGGT